TGCTCTGAGGGGCTGTGAGGAGGAGGCGCCGCTGCTCTGAGGGGCTGTGAGGAGGAGGCGCCGCTGCTCTGGGGGGCTGTGAGGAGGAGGCGCCGCTGCTCTGGGGGGCTGTGAGGAGGGGGCGCCACTGCTCTGGGGGGCTGTGAGGAGGAGGCGCCGCTGCTCTGGGGGGCTGTGAGGAGGAGGCGCCGCTGCTCTGGGGGGCTGTGAGGAGGAGGCGCCGCTGCTCTGGGGGGCTGTGAGGAGGGGCCGCCACTGCTCTGGGGGGCTGTGAGGAGGAGGCGCCGCTGCTCTGGGGGGCTGTGAGGAGGGGCCGCCACTGCTCTGGGGGGCTGTGAGGAGGAGGCGCCGCTGCTCTGGGGGGCTGTGAGGAGGAGGCGCCGCTGCTCTGGGGGGCTGTGAGGAGGAGGCGCCGCTGCTCTGGGGGGCTGTGAGGGGGAGGCGCCGCTGCTCTGGGGGGCTGTGAGGGAGAGGCGCCGCTGCTCTGGGGGGCTGTGAGGGGGAGGCGCCGCTGCTCTGGGGGACTGTGAGGAGGAGGCGCCGCTGCTCTGGGGGGCTGTGAGGAGGAGGCGCCGCTGCTCTGGGGGGCTGTGAGGAGGAGGCGCCGCTGCTCTGGGGGGCTGTGAGGGAGAGGCGCCGCTGCTCTGGGGGGCTGTGAGGGGGAGGCGCCGCTGCTCTGGGGGACTGTGAGGAGGAGGCGGCGCTGCTCTGGGGGGCTGTGAGGAAGAGGCGCCGCTGCTCTGGGGGGCTGTGAGGAGGAGGCGGCGCTGCTCTGAGGGGCTGTGAGGAAGAGGCGCCGCCGCTCTGAGGGGATGTGAGGAGGAGGCGCCGCTGCTCTGGGGCCTGTGAGGGAGAGGCGCCGCCGCTCTGGGGGCTATGAGGGAGAGGCGCCGCCGCTCTGGGGGCTGTGAGGGAGAGGCGCAGCCGCTCTGGGGGCTATGAGGGAGAGGCGCCGCTGCTCTGGGAGCTGAGAGGCAGAGGCGCTGCTGCTCTGGGGGCTGTGAGGGAGAGGCGCTGCCACTCTGGGGGGTTGTGAGGGAGAGGCGCCGCTGTTCTGGGGGCTGTGAAGGAGAGGCGCCGCTGCTCTGGGGGCTGTGAGGGAGAGGCGCCCGCTGTCCTCCCTGCTATCTCGGGGCACCACTGTCGCCTCCAGCCTCTGCAGTCATTGCCACGCCAGAGGGCCGCACTCCACACGCCTTGAGGGAAAGGGATGCGCAGACACGGCGCTGGCGCATGGCGATGCAATGGAGGGCAGCGAGGAAGCAAGAGTAGAGCCAACGTGCAGCAGGAGCAACAAGGACGTGCGAACAGAGAGGACAACGAGCAGAACAAGTGTGAGTGAGTGGTAACACAAGACTGCGGGTGGTTGGAATGTGTGGGGACGGGAGCGCATGGCCCACGGCACTACATTAGCGAGGCAGCGAGGGGTGAGTGGGGAAGAGAGTGACGCGCAAATGGTCTGAATGCATAGCAACCCCCTTCACTCCACATGAGCTCACTGCCGTCATGAGGCACCAACGCCATGCACCACACAAGTAGCAAGTGAAAAACGTGCAGCAGCAACGAAACAGAGTCATGGGGGCTATCACCAAGGTGGGTGTTAGGTGGGAGGATAAGGACGCTTACGAAGGGGAAGTTAGCTGTGGCAGGGATCCGTTGTAAGTCGTACGCTGCTCGGCGCTTTTAGAAGTAAGCCGGCATTCGCCGATCCTCAGTGCAAGCGCGTCGATCCTCCAAAGTCGCGTCCAATTCTCGAACCAGCGTCCAAAGCGGAAGACTCCAGCGATGGCGCCAGCAGCAGTCGCCAGTCGCCTGCAGGTCGCTGCCATGGTCGCGTGCAGACGGCAGGCATGGTCGCGCGCAGACGGCAGGCATGGTCGCGCGCAGGCCATGGCGGTCATGAACGCCAACACTCCGCATCGTTGCCAATGAACAGAGCCAACGCCAAACCCACAGGGTGCTGCACGTACGCACGGCTCGCCGCATAAACAAGTCAGAAACGTATGCAGGGATGTCGGAAGAGCTGCACTTGCAACGTCAGGCGAGTGAGCGCCGTGGCGGAATCGTTACACGTCGCGCCTGCTGCAGTGACCATTGTGAGACATCTCCGGTCTGCGAGAGGCTGGGAATACTACGCCGTCGTTCGTTTGAGACGAAGCGGTTCGCGTCGCTGCCGTCTCACCTCTCCACTGGTCCCCGTCGACCTTCACAGCTTCAGCGGTCCACGCATGTAGCAACTGGTCCTCCCCGTCAGTCGTTTTTAACACTCTTCAGCATTCCGTCGCGTGTAGATGCGCCAGCACAAGGGACGACAGATGCGTGCTGCCTGGGGCTCCCAAGATAGACCATCTCAGTAGAAACTGAATACTGTCATTTGCAGCATCTGGAGCTTCAGGAACAGTCGGCGAACGAGGAGCCATAGAACGACGCCAGATAAGTGCATAATCTTCAACATATTGAATGGGGATCTGTCAACAGACGAAGTTTTTTATGATTGAGAAGATCTGTAACTATGATGTGGAATTGAACTACCATGGCTTACGATCAAGAAATGGGTCAGCAGTCACTTTCCAGGGTAGCGGGAGAACGATCAAGAAATGGGTTGAGGAAGCTTGGTTGGGAAGTCATTAAAACCTCTCAAGCGGACAGACGAATCTCAGGTCCCTTTTTTGTTCGATTAGGTTCGTAGTGGTAAGTCGCGGTTCTATAGCGCTCCATTCTGCTTGTTGCTTGTGAACAGTTATAAAACCTGACAAAACAAAATGGAGTTCAACATCTTCTCAAAGAACTTCAAACCAATATATTGAGCGTACTCCATCTCTATGACGATCATGTCATTATGAAGACAACGAGCTTTTAGGTGAAAATAATATCACCTTTAATGTAAAGCTGGTGCAGATTGGTGGATTCCATTACTGATTTGGATTGGAACTTAAATGGTACATCCACTTCGAGTGACAAGCTGACGAACCCTGCATGTACCGTGTTAATGGGTTAGATAAATGCTGGTATGGTTGCTGCTACCGGTACCAGTTTCATCTCTATGCCATTGAGTCCAGTAAAAAATGTCACTGAATCCAAGGGTAGCATGTAGGATGAGACAGTGTTTAGCACACTGGTAGAAAGCTTCATCCTTAGTCTATGAAGTGTAATGATGTGCGTGCGGTTTGCATCCAGAACCCAATCAATAAAAGCCCCTGAAAAGAAAAACCGAAGTGCCGTTAGTCTCTTAAGTGCTTTAGATTAGTCAAGACAAAATCGATCACTCTCATCTCATAAATGTGCCTGGTGCTGACAGCAGACAAGTACTGGACGGGGAACTTACTGTCTGTGATGAGAGCCTGGCCAGCTGAAGGTGATCCGGATGGCTCGGAACTTATTGATATTATTGCTTAAAATGGTGGACTCCAGATTGGTTGATATGACGACTTATTAGCGGGTATCCAGGGTCAACAAAAATGACCTCATCTGAAGCGTCAATGAAAGGCGACCTCATGATGAACGTGACTCGTAATATACTTAAGCATTCCCATTATTACAGCCATATATGGTCTCTGCACGGAAAATAAGCGTCAAGAGGAGTGTCGACATCCTAGGTGTAAAAGAAATGTCATTCTCACCGTGTGAACGGGTGACTGGAAACCAAGCTTAAACCTGTGCATCCTCATATCCACCTGCGTGCACATGAAGCAATGAAAAAACTGACTGACGGGAAAGCAAAATGGGATTTAGAAAAGGAGTACAAGCACCAGTATAGCCGATTCAATTCTTTAGCAGTGAAGAAGCTTCTTTAGCAGTGAGGAAGCTGCCTTGTGAAGTCTTCCAGCCAGCTTAACACGCTTCCATTAACATTCACAAGGACGTGCATTTTTTACGGGTGAGACATTAGAGTAGAATGAACGAATGGTCGGCGACCTGACAGCCAGGCGTACACTTGGCAAAGTTGACGTTCTTCGGGAAAAAAAAACTACGCCCTCGGTCTTGCCCGTTCCTATGCCTGAAATGACATGATTTTCGTATGAATGTGCTAAGATTGACGGCTTCTAGCAGAAATCACGCTGCGTGTGGTGTGTGAAAAGTTAGCTGGAGATTAGGTGAAAGACGAAGGCTCACAGCAGCAAAAATCGAGAACAAATTTCTCCGCCCTGCCTGTCTTCCAGCAACCAACCCGCGGACTGTTCTGGGGTCAGTCAGCTCGAGATCAGGATGGAAAGGAGCTTCGTTTGAGGAACACATTGTTGTCCGCATAAAGTTCTTACAACACAACTCTCTCAAGTTTTGAAAAGAATCAATATAGGATGTTCAAGTCGAGAGTATAGGAAATTCTCAATTTGTCATTGATAGTAACTCATCCATCACATCAAGATGTTAGAGACTTCTCTAGGCATAACCAAATGGCAATGAAATTATGCTACCGGTATCACCTATCGTCCATAGTTTTACGGTATTGCAAAACTCAAAAGCAGCCCCAGCAAACTCTTCCCCACAAGTGAGGCTGATTGCCTTGTTGGATTTTTTTTTGGTATCTGTTCTGTTCGTTGTCATTTCGATTTTTATAAAAATCCCTGCATTTGCTCAGTCACTCACTCGTGATATATTGCGGTTGAGGTGAATTAGCCAAACATACGGGACACACTGCAACTTGTGGCCTCACAGAAGGAACAGCAGCAACAGGAGCAACAGGAGCTGTACCGCAAGTGCTGCTGGTGGTGGTGTTGCTTGTGGTGGCGACATCTCCTTGATTGCCATGCAGAGCAGCTCCAGCCATGAATGACGATACTGCCATACTGCCAGCCCGTGTGGCCACTCGATCGAGATTGGTTACAAAACTGGCCCCAGCAGTCACGTTCGCACTGTCAGCTCTACAAAACACACAACACCACAAGTATGAGGTAGCGGCATTTGGATTTTGCTCTTGCATTCAGGGTGGTTCCATAAATACCCTTACAAAGACAGAATACTGGCCAAAACACACTGATTAGCACTGGGCGATTTTTTTTTCACCCTGACTGTCAGGCAAAGGGGCCAAGAGGACCCTGATATGGCAGGGTGCCCCGAAACCAATTTTTGGCCCTGCTGCCACCCACCTATCCCAGCCGCGGCATATGGTATTGGCCTCCCTAATGTTTTCTAAAGACTCCCGGGCCCCAGCCTGACTAGTGAACAACAGAGCTTTGAGCATTGGCTCTCTGCTGAGGCCACCCTGCCCTGAGTTCCTGGTCTTGCCTTGCATGCATTAGTGAGGCTTTTTCAAACACATTCGGAAGGGCATTTACTCACAATGCACAATCAGAAGTAACTAGTCCTTCCACAATGGGTCACCCCCAAAATGTAACCTTTCTTGTTGGTAGTGGTGGTGGTGGGCAGGTTGGGCAGGGAGGCAGTGGTGTTGGGGGAGAGCACATGCGGAGCTACAACAACAATGGATGGCCCCACCGACCCCACTCGTCTCACATGCACGGGAACCAGCCGACCACCGCCATCCACCTGCGCTACCAACTCCCACTGCTGGCGTGTCATGCCAACTGACTCCTGCTCGCCCTTCTCCCTCCCACCCGCCTCTCCTCTCCTCTTTCTGTCGCTGCTCTTATCCACCTTCTCCATCCTTGCTTCCTCCTCTCCCCTCGCCTTTTCTGCTTCTCCTGATCTTCCATCCTCGTTTGAAGCAGTCTCGTTAATGAGCGCCATGGCAGCATGGGCTGGCCGACGCCCCCCACGCGCAGTTCCACCCAGGTGCCGAGGAATGCGAACCACCCGGCCAGCAGAAGCACTGGCCTTCACCAGCGCTGGTCCCTCAGAACATGCGGGGCAGACCGTCAGAGGGACCACCACCACCACCGCCCCCCGTTCCCATTCCGCCCTTCCCCTTCCCCTGCTGCTCCACCGTGACCCCGCTGCTGCTCTGGGCGGTTGTGAGGGGGAGGCGGAGAGGGAGCGGGGGGAGAGTGGGGGAGCGGCAGCTGCAGCAGGCGCGCCAAGGCGACTGCTTGCGCGCCGTGCACAGTGACAGCGGCGCTCACTCTCCGCCTCTGTCAGCGTGCACGCTGACCGCGGCGCCTGACGCGAGCACGACCTTCCTCACCTCGCCCGCATACGTGTCGCCGAAAAAAAACACGATTTCGCTTCATTTTCATCCCAGGAAATAGCATGAATCGCAGCAAATGCCACATCACCACTGGCGCAAAACTGGACCATGTGCCTTACCTGCCAATGCACGTCTTAGTTATTTGGAGGTGGATCAGTAGGATTGGTAAAGGAACGAACCCACTTGGGCAACCTCAGACTGATGTCACTCCAAACGGCAGACACCCACGGCACAACACTTGCGAAGAGCACCTGCATGAAAGACAACAATGATCAGACCTTGGATATTTGTCACCACACTCGCAGAAATGCATTATGTTTTTCCACAAAGAAAACAAGCTGTAATGTGTGCCAATATGTCAACTCACCGGCTGGTACCCATCTGTGTGCAGCTCATACTTGGGCGAGTACACATGCACCCCTGTGGTTGCTCCAAATCCCAAGGGCCGCACTGCCCATCTGCCTGTCAAAGCATCTCACGAGTGACAACACTCACCGGCTGGTACCCATCTGCGTGCAGCTCGTACTTGGGTGAGTACACATGCACGCGCGTGGTGGCGCCCAATCCCAAGGGCAGCACTGGCAGATCAGTGGCAGCACCAGAGCCCGTTGCTCCCTTTCCTCTTGCTCCAGCTCCACACGCAGCAGTTGAATCGTGCTGGGAGGTTGACTCATGTGCGGTGCTGGTGTTGGCACTTGTGTTGGCGTGGGAAAGGATGGGGAGCGGGCCAGAGCCGGTTTGAGGGTGGTAGAGGGAGGTGAGGGGGAGGCGGTGGTGGGTCCACGCGAGGATGGAACCCTTGAGGTTGGCTGCGTGCATGCTGTGGTGCGAGTGCAGCATGCGAGCATAGTTGCCGCTGCGATAGCCTATGGTGCTGCGAGGGGGAGAGGGGCAGGAAGAGGTGTATTGGAAGCGGGGCAAAGTTAGTGAAAGGGTGAATGGAGCTCCTAAGGTTGGCTGTGTGCACGCTGTGGTGATGGAGGAGGACTGAGTGCATGCCGTGGTGCATGCCGTGAAGAATTACCTGTTGCTCCCTGCTCCATATCGCCCCTTACCTCTCACACCTCCTTCTACTCTTACCACCCCCACTCCCCCCAAGCACCTGTGGACCACCCTGAAACCCCCTGCATTCCTCTGCACCCCTCTGCACCCCTCTGCATCCCACCTTCTCACCAGTAGCACACGACTTGGTGATCGCTGAATCGTCCCATCTGCCGCTCAAAGTCGCTCTGCTTCAGTGTGCCGCCCGGAATCATCGACACTGCTGATTCCTCCTCTGTACGTGTGTCCACCACCACTACCCGCCGCCCACCCCGCCCACTCTCTCCCCCTCCCACTGCTGCTTCCCCTCCTCCTGCCTCGCCTCTCAAGCCCCCTTCCCCAACTTCCCCTCTCCCCACTCCCCCATCCGCCTCCCCGTTCGTCCCCAATCCCTCTCCCCCACCCGCTGCCTGCTGCGCCAGCAGCAGCTGGTGCAACTCAGTCACGTCCATCTCGGGCACCTGGCGGAAAGGGAGGGAAAGGGGAAAGGGAAAAGGGGAAAGGGAAGCTGTTGGTGAGCCTGTGAGATTTTGAGACGGCTCAAAACCCAAATTCTATCATGCAAGTGAGCCTGTGAGAGGGCGGCTGCAGCGGCTGGTGCAGCCCAGGCACGCCCATCTGGTGCAGCCCAGGCACGCCCATCTGGTGCAGCCCAGGCACGCCCATCTCAGGCGCGCGGCGCAGGGAGACAAGTTGCCCCGTGCATCGCACAGGTTCAGCATCATCCGTATCATCCAGCTCAACGCTTACGTCTTCGCACAGCTTCTCCTTTATCCGATCGTACATCCCACCCCATAGCTTATCCGTATGAACCGGCTCAAAGGTTACCGTATATATATAAACAGCTTACGTCGGTAAAGAGCTTGTCCCTCATCCGGTCGTACATCTCCCATAGCTTCTGACGCCGCTGCTCCCCGCCCTGCTTCGCCGCTCCCTCGCCCGCCGCGGCCGCTGCGACGGCGGGCGACTCCGCGCTGCGACGCGAATCGTCGCACGCCATGCGACGCGTGCGGCGTCGCAGGAAGGGAGAACTCGCGTTAATGAAACGGGGGGGGACCGACGACAAAGGGAGGCGAAAGTGGTGGCGCGATGAGGAGGAGGAGTGGGGACGGGGTATGGGATGGTAGCGGTATCCTTGAGAGAGTCCTTGAGATAGAGTTGGCGGCGCGGCGAGAAGTACGGGCATGACTGAACATGAACCACACCGACAAGCTCCTCAAAATTGCAGCCCGTATCCGAAGCACCAAATCTGTGAATTCGTACGCCTTATAGTACGTGGCCATTTACTGCAAACCTTTCCAGTCATTGTATATTTGAAATAGCAGATAGCCATGAGCTGTATATATTAGATTTCTCTAAAAGGATTACGTTAGTCTCCACAAGCCAACATCAGGAAGAGTACCGTAGAAAGAGGGGGGTAAAAATAACTCTGAATTACTAGGACAATCCAGATGGAGGCTAGTAGGCAAACTAGAGCAGCGTCAAGGCTAATTAAGACCAAGAAACAAGCCTTTTGGAGAATACACTCTATCCCCTCTATTGCTCGTATCCGCCTTGGGACCCACCGCCACCAGGGTAACCCGCTCCCTCCCCATACCTTCCACCACCGTACCCACCCCCTCCTCCCCCATACCCACCGCCGCCACCGCCACCACTGTACCGCCCTCCACCACCGCCGTATCCCCCACCACCGTATCCCCCCCTGCGGCCTCCCCCTCCTCCTCCTCCGCCCTCTGTCCTGTTGGAGGCATAATCAACGCGCACTGTCCTTCCACTCAGCTCCTGCAGGGGTTGGGCGACAACAAGGGGGGTGAAGGGAGTGTGTGAGGATGTGTGAGGAGGAGTTTATCCATCCCTTGCTCTCTCTGTACTGCTGGAGGCATAGTCAATGCGCACTGTCCTTCCACTCAGCTCCTGCAAGGGTTAGGTGACAGGATAAATGGGCGAGTGTGAGTGTGGGAGTGAGTGAGTGAGTGTGTGTGAGTGTGTGTGTGGTAAGGAAGGGTTTAGGCCTCTCCATCTCTCCAGGGGGCATAATCAACGTGCACTGTCCTTGTCCTTCTACTCAGCTGCTACACGGCATGGCGGGGGATAAGGAGTGCAAAGTGGTTGTGAGAAGAGGGTCTGAGAGGGGGGCAGAGAGTGTGGGAGAGGAGAGAGTGTGAGGGGTTTGGGTGTGGGGGTTGGGGTGTGGGTGTTAGGGGGGTAAAGGGTACGGACGGTGGATATCTTGTTGATGATCAATAAACCAGACTGATCTCCCACGCCAAGTGAAAATGGCGGCAAAAAAAGACATGGAGAGTGGATATCGGGGCTTGCGTGAAAGTTGCGACGAGGCTTACGTCACAAACCCTGATTTTTATATAAATGGTACCTTCGCGCACCTTGATTCCTGATCACCCTAACCTCTTTGAGACTGGTGAATCTACTCTCTGCCGAAAATGGCTAACCTTGATCTGACACCTTGCCCCTAAAGCCCAGATACTCACCTTGCCGTTAAGCCCTCCCCGTCACCTTGCCCCCACCCACCCACCCTCGTGTAAAATCTCCTCCCCCTCACCTTGCCGTTGACGCCTTCCAAAGCGCTAGCAGCCTCCTCGTCCGACGCGAAGCTCACGAACCCGAACCCGCGCGACCGACCCGTGAACCGATCCCTGATCACCTTGGCTGGAAGTTGAAGGAGGGAAACGACGGGAGACGGGAACGGACGGACAGGGAATGGAAACGGAAGGACGAGAAATTGGGAGGCAGGAGTTTTTGAATTAAAATCAAAACAAGCAAAAAGCCGCGCAAGCGAAACGAGAGCTGAAAGCGAAAAGGAAAGTCAATGCTGGGCGATGGGCGAGGGCGAGGAAGGATGTAAGTTTAGGGAAAGGGGACGGGGGAGGGGTATAAGCGGTGATCTTGGTAACAGAAGGTGAATGATTTGCACAAAGAGAGCTGGGGTCACAGGCGGCTCATAGAGTATGGTGGATGGCGGAGGGGGGTTCGCCGAAAGCGGAAAGCAGAGCGCGGCGGGCGGAGAGCGGGGTGCGGAGGGAGGACGGCGGAAATGCAGCGGAGAGAGCGGGCGCACCTTCCTCGACGGTTCCGTAGGCAGAGAAAGCATCCGCCAAGGCCTTCTCGTCGGCCTCCCATGCGAGCCCTGCTCAACCGATCGCACGGATGGAACGAGAGACACACGCGTTGGGGTAAAGAGACCAATATGTCACAAATGCACGCACATGTCCCATCAGTGGTGTTAAAAAAATCAAACATCATTGCATCCTAAGCGTGACGGCAGGGAAGAGGCGTGAGAGACCCGCGTGGTTCACTGCCGGCAAGAAAGCTCTCTCCTGCCGGATCTGATACGCGACGAACATAGCCGTCGCCGTCTGCCACGCGAATCATTGCTGGATCTGTGCATGCGACAGATCTAGGCTCGAGGTGACTTTTGAGTCGACTCAAAAGTGACCTCGAGTCATCCCTGGATCTGGACATGCGACAGATCTATACTCTAAAGAACGGCGTGGGCTTCAACGGATCCACGTGGCAACGGTATAACGGAGTCGGAGACGGAAACAGGAAGCGAGGAACGCGCCTTCGATAAGCTGCGTGTTCCCCACGAGCATCGGACGGCGTGCCTCATTTCCAGAAAAGACATCCGTACCACGGTAGGGTTATCAGATCTAAAAAACGGATGGACCAGTGGGTGACGAAAGTAAGAACGAAAGTGGTGGCGAAAGCGGTAACGCACCACCGATGAAGAGCTTGTTGCCGGACATGAACCGGACGGCTTGCGTCATGGCGGCGGGGAGCAGCGATAAGTGCGTCTGCGGCGCGTGGAACGCGGCGAGCGCGTCATTGGCGCAGCCTTGTGTGACTGATCTCCTCAGCACGTTGCCGATCCCCCGAAGAAAAGCCATCGCGAATGGTTGTCAGAGATTAACTGAGTGAGTAGATCGTCACGCGGCTGATAAGAATCGCTGCTTCGAGCCTTCAGCAGGAAACGGAAGGCAGCAGAAGCACCGAACACAAGGTATGCAAGTCCGAGCAACGAAAGTACTGGACGAAAAGCGAGCAGAAACAGTTCGAGCTTGAGGTTATATCGGCACGAGGGCGAGGGAGAAGCAGCTTCAGCTGCTCGCCGCTGCTGAGCAAGAATGGCTCCACAATTGGAGGTGAAAATGTCATTGCTGTGCAACTGGTTGTTCTTATAGCGTACCCGTCGAAACGGCCTGTAACGAGTTATAAGTCTCATCGAAATGCATCAGCGAATCCGGGTGTTAGGTTCGGTTAAATAGGTACGTGCTGACGGGGCCGTGGAATCTCAAGTCTGGTGAAGTGCTCTGCGCGGATCACGTGTGTCGAAAAGCAAAATATCTTCGTGGTCCACCACCAGAATGCTAGTACACTAGAATGCCCCCATGGTTTACATCTTTAGAGAATATACCACATGCAATTGCTGCATGGGTTACACCACATGATATTAGGCTAAAACATTTTAGTGGTACCACACCTGTCATTGATGAGGCTGAATGGACTAACTCAGCAGTATTACCTAAAGGAGCGGCCAAGCCTAGCGGCAACGATAATGCACTATTCACTAGCAGAGATGCTCATCACTAGCAGAGTACCATCGCTAACATGTTAGGCAAAACACACGACAAAATAAATACTTGATCTTAGTAAGCCGATGCTCGTTTCCTTAGCCCTGGAATGAAAGCTGAAATCTCCTTCTCCAGGTCTTCTAAGCTCTGCTCCAGCTGCTCCTGGAAATCCCTATCCTCTTCCGTCACCGCCCTCCCATGCACCACTACCGCTCGCTTACACACCACCACAAACCGCACGATCGCAGACGTCAACATCTCCAATTCCGACGGCTGTAATTTCTCCGGATCCTTGGCCCTCGGATTAGCCCCCTGGGGATTCGCCTGGTAAAACGCCATACACACCCCCAGCACACCACTGTTAACCTGCAGCGCCACACTCCCCTGCAGTAACCGCTGCAGCGTTTGTAACCGCGGCAGCTGTAGCGGCCCAGAACCTGCTGCCATTGCTGCAGCTACAACCGCTGCCGGATCCTTCTTTCCAGCCGGCCCTCCCGCCGCCCCTGCCGCCCCAGAATCCCCCAACTGGCTGGCCATTTCGGCCTCTAGTGCAAACGACCGAGACTCAATAATCTCCACAGCGCACTGGATCGGGGAGTACTCCCGAACCTCCGACCGAACCACCGGCTGCCGGCTAATCAGGCTCGGGAGCGTGCTCTGCGTGTACAGCAGCGTTCGTCTCTTCCACTGATCCTCCATCCGCCCCTGCTGCTTCCCATTCGGCGTAAACGGCGTGTCAAAAAAGAAACAACTGAACGTGGGAGTCCCGGCAATCGGCGGCTCGAGAGGTCTGCCGAGCCACCGATCCTCCCCCGCACCTACCACAGGTTCGACGGCGGTGATCTGCATGTAGACTAGGTTCGGCTTGAGGGCGGCAGGGTCCACTTGGCGTGAGTCCTGGATGATCTGCAGGGGCTCCTCGTCGGGTGAGCGGGCGTCATAGAGTGCTTTGAGCTTCTCCATTATGTCTCCCAGCCGCACGTCTCGAGGCTCTCGATAGATGAATTCCCTGCAGTGGAGGGGGGAACGGGGAGAGCAGGGAGAGGGTGGGCATGGGGGGCGTGCAGGCATGAAAAGGTGGCTCCTCGTCTTGAGTGCCGCTTGAGGGCGGCAGGGTCCACCTGGCGAGAATCCTGTTTTGAGTCGACTCAAAACACGGCAGGGTCCACTTGGCAGGAGTCCTGGATGACTTGAAGAGGCTCCTCGTCGGGCGAGCTGGCGTCGTAGAGTGCTTTCAGCTTCTCCATGATGTCTCCCAGCCGCACGTCCCTTGGCTCTCGGTATATGAACTCCCTGCAGAGGGGGAAACGAGGGACAAGGACAGCAGTGCAGGAAGAGTAGGGAGAGGGATGGGCATGGGGGCGTGCAGGTATGAAAAGGTGGACCCTCGGCTTGAGGGCGGTGGGGTCCACTTGGCGCGAGTCGTGGATGATTTGAAGGGGCTCCCCGTCAGGTGAGCGCGCGTCGTAGAGTGCCTTGAGCTTCTCCATTATGTCTCCCAACCGCACGTCCCTTGGTTCGCGGTATATGAACTGCCTATAGTGACCAGTGACCTGTGACCAGTGACCTGCCCTGCATGTGTCGTCGAACCACTCACCTGCCATCGATGTATCGGAAGCGTTCCCCATAGAAGCCGACTCGATAGTAGCAGGCGTCCTTGAAGGGGATGGGGCTCGTCTCCTGCTGCTCCACGTTCTCATAGATGGACGCGATCTTGTTGTGCGTCTTGGTCAGCTGACCAAGGCAAGGGAGAGGGGGTGGGGAGGGGGAGGAGTGAGGCAAGGATGGCAGGAGTCAAGGTGCAACTAAGGGCTCATCGTTCCGAAGTCCAAGTTGAGACTTACCCTGCACTGAGAGTGGCACAGACTCAACCCCTATCCAAATCAAACCAAAACACATCCATACCTGCTTGTAGTCGTGGCGGGTGCGGTGGAGCGGCAGCAGCAGGGAGAGCATGAGAGCGCAGAAGTGGAAGAGCTCCGCCTTGTAGAACAGGTTGCTCGCCCGCTGCACGTGCTGCACCGCCCCCTCCACAGTCACCCGCGCCGCCCCGAACCCTGACTGGGAGGAGAAGGCCCGCGCGCGCCACTGGTGACGGGCCAAGGGGCAGATGCTCCACAGCACTTCCAGGTGCTCCTCGTCCCACACTGGTTCCTCCGACGCTATTTGCAACCCCTGGAAGGACGAGAAGGGAGGGGCGAGAGGAGGAGTATTGGTGTGAGCGGCACTGCCACTGGTGGTGGGCCAAGGGGCAGATGCTCCACAGCACTTCCAGATGCTCCTCGTCCCACACTGGCTCCTCTGACGCGATTTGCAGACCCTGAACTGACGACAGGATGGGAGGAGGAGCAACAGGGGAAAGGAAAAGTGAAAGGTGGAAATAATCCCGAGCACCGTCACCTTCAACAGCAAACACTCATCAAACCCTGACTTCACGCAACTGTGAAACCCTGACCTCTGAACCCTCATCCCTGGTAGGCAGCAAACCATGGGCCACGAGTGTACTTACCCGAATGACAATGCCGGCCACAGAGACAGCGCATTGGGCGGCCTCGGCCCACTGGTTCATCTCCTGGTGCGCGTCACAGAGGTGCAGCATCCACATGATGTACAGATCGGGCACGTGTCTCCCCATGCCCAACCAACCCATGGTGGCAGAATTCCCTATCCTTACCCGAATGACAATGCCAGCTACAGAAACGGCGCACTGAGCGGCCTCAGCCCACTGGTTCATCTCCTGGTGCGCGTCACAGAGGTGCAGCATCCACATGATGTACAGATCGGGCACGTGCCCGTACGCCTGTGCAAGGATGTAGTAACTCTCCACAATTGCATACTTGTCGTTGGATGTTTTCAGCCCCTCCATCTGCATGGGATGAGATGAGAGAATAGGCAGGGAGGCATATGGGGAAGGATCAGGGTATGGGTTGAGCTGATGCAACATCCACATGATGTGCAGGTCGGGCACGTGCCCGTATGCCTGTGCAAGAATGTAGTAGCTCTCCACAATAGCATACTTGTCATTGGATGTTTTCAGCCCCTCCATCTGCGAGTGAAAAGGGAGGGCATAACGGAGTGAAGGGACAACGACGGGAAGGCCTTGCGATCAGGCAAGTGCCCTGTTGAACAGCAGTGCAACATGGGCAACCATGCAACATGGGCAACCGTGCAAGGTGGGCAAAAAACAAGACCTACCAATTGCTCATGCTGTGACGCGGCATCCACCACAGTAAGCAGCATGTCCTGACTTCACTACTGGTGCAAAAAGATGACTTCAGATTTGAACCAGAATTCAAGACTCACCAGTTGCTCGTGCTGAGACGCTGCATCCACCACCGTGAGCAGCATGTCCTGAGTCTCCTCCACATTCGCCCATGTTCATTGAGGTGATTTTATGAAAGACAAAGAGTACCCAGTTGCTTGTGAAACGAAGCTCACCAGCTGTTCGTGCTGTGATGCCGCATCCACCACTGTGAGCAGCATGTCCTGAGTCTCCTCCACATTCGCCCACGTCCATTGAGGTGATTTTATGAAAGACAAAGAGTACCCAGTTGCTTGTGAAACGAAGCTCACCAGCTGTTCGTGCTGTGATGCCGCATCCACCACTGTGAGCAGCATGTCCTGAGTCTCCTCCACATTCGCCCACGTCCACCTGTCCCTCTCCCTCTTCCTCCTCCTCCCCACCATCACACTCCCCCCTTCATCCCACTCCTCATACTCCTCCTCCTCGTCCTCCTCATCCTCCTCCTCCTCCTCCTTTTCCTCATCCTCCTCCACCACAATCTCCAGGCAGATCGACGGTAACCCACACTCATCCAGCAGCTGAAACCACTTATCCTCCGTCCCAAGCTCTTCCAGCGAAAGCCTCAGTTTCTCAACCTCTGCGGATTCTACCAGTTCCCCAGCGCCCCCTCCCCCACCGCCAGCAGCAGAAGCGATGCTAGAGGCGCTGGAGGAGCGAGAGGCGGGGGCGGGGGAGGGCGAGGGCGCGTGCAGGAGGCGCATGTGGGATAGGACCTCTGAGAGAGCGACTGTGAGGATGACTCGAAGGCGCTCCACGTCCTTCATGTGCAGCAGGGCGTTCTGAGGGAAACGAATGGGGAGAATGGGGGAGATTGGGGGCAAGGAAATTGGGCAAAGGGGGGATTAGTTGGGAGGGTGAGGGAGAGTACAGAGGGTGCATGTGGGAGAGGACCTCCGAGAGGGCGACTGTGAGGATGACTCTGAGGCGCTCCACATCCTTCATGTGCAGCAGGGCGTTCTGTGGAGGGGAGGGGCGGAGGGAACAGGAAAGGGGAGTTACGGGAAGTTCTGTGGAAACGGGGAGAGCACTTCGGAGAGGGCGACTGTGAAGATGACTCTCAGCCAATCCACGTCCTTCATGTGCAGCAGGGCGTTCTGTGTGTGGGAGGATAAAGAGTGACGGTGAGGATGCAGGGCGTTCAGTGGAGGAATGGGGAAAGGTGAGGGGGTGTTGAAGGAAGACAAACGAAGGGATGGTTGCAGGGAGAGGGCACAGCAGTGAGGGCTGAACGTACAGCAACAAAGTAATCAACTATGTCATATCAGAAATCCGGCACAGGAATACGCACGCGGAGCAGCAGCAGCAGGCAGAGCAGAGCTCTCTTCCTGATGAACTCGGGGCGGAGGGCCATCTGCGTCAGCAGGCTGCCAAACAGACCCTTGAGCAACACGTTGCCCCCCTTAGCTGCCCCCTCCCTTCCTCTCCCCGCCACTCCCCCCCACGAGATGACCTTGACTCGACTCAAAAGTCATCTCGTCACGAAGCAATATATTTTCCGGCGCCTCAAACATGAACCAAGGCAGCACAACAACAATCTAGTAAGAGGGCACAGGAATACTTACGCGCAGGAGCAGCAGCAGGCAGAGCAGAGCTCTCTTCCTGATGAACTCGGGGCGGAGGGCCATCTGCTTCAGCAGGCTGCCAAACAGGCCCTTGAGCAGCACGTCGCCCCCCTTAGCTGCTGCCCCGCCACTGTCAGCAGTGTCAGCCGCGGCAGCAGAGGGCGGGCCGTCGAGCATGGCCTTTCCGTGCAGGCGCAGCATTTCGGCGAAGGCCGGCACGAAGGGCTCCCAGAAGCTCATTGGCTGGAGGAAAGGAGGGGGTGAGGGTGTCAAGAGGCGGGGCAGGACAGGAGTGACTGAGAGGCCCATCAAGCATGGCCTTGCCGTGGAGGCGGAGCATTTCCGCAAAGGCTGGCACAAGGGCTCCCAGAAGCTCATTGGCTGGAGGAAAGGAGGGGGTGAGGGTGTCAAGAGGCGGGGCAGGACAGGAGTGACTGAGAGGCCCATCAAGCATGGCCTTGCCGTGGAGGCGGAGCATTTCCGCAAAGGCTGGCACAAGGGCTCCCAGAAGCTCATGGGCTGGAAGACAAGAGGGGTACGGGGGTTGGAAAGGCGGATACATACGTGCGTTGAGTGTGTGGAAAGGGGCTGGATATATGTGTGAGTGCGCGTGATTATGAGTCAGTGTTTGGGTGTGTGGGTGGAATATAAGCACACCCACCTGGGGCAGTGCGAGCACGATGGAGAGTGGCCCAGTGAGGCAGTCCATGATCTGATAGTCGGTGGTGAGGTATGTGGGTGGTTGGTGGCGCACATGAGCATGACGTGTGCTTGTGTGTGTGCTTGTGTGCTCGTTCTACCCACCTGGGGCAGCGCGAGCATGACGGAGAGAGGGCCAGTGAGGCAGTCCATGGTTTGATAGTCGGTGGCCACAAGTCCATCAGCCGCCATGTCACTGAACTTCTCCACCACCTCCAACACCTGCACGGCACACCATGCCGCCACGCTGGCTTCCCACACCAGCTGGTGGCAGCGAGGAGGGTGAACAGGGGGAAAGTGGGGAGGGAGAGAAAGTAGGGGATAAGGTGAGACTGAGAGATGGGAACGCGAGGGCACAGAATGCACGCACGGTCATGGCTTTTTAACAGACCCCTTTTGAGACCCCTCCACCACCCCTCCACCACCCCTCCATCTCAAAGGTCATGGCTTTTTAACAGACCCCTCCACCACCCCTCCTACCCCTACTACCCCAAACCCCCAATCCCACTCACCAGCTTGGCAGAAGCGCTGGGCGGCAAGTTTTGTCTCATCAGCGCCATGGCATCTTTGGGCGGCATTCTTGACCGAGCGAGCACATCCCTGAGCGAAACCGCCGACCCCTTGCCGCCCGACACGGCGCCGCCCGTGACCTTTCGGATTATCTGCTCCCTTTCCAGCAAGGCCTTGGGATCTGCCCGGCCCATCTCGTCCAGCTGGTCATTGGTTGCCAGGGAGACTCGGTCCGAGTACATCGGGATTGGTGGAGGCTCCACTGCCAGCGTGGCGTCGGCGGGTGCTGACGTGGCGGGGCTGGATTTGGTGGCAGCGGGGCGGGGCTTGCTGCCAGCTGTCAGCTGGGGGGGGTGCTGTGGGTGATTCGGGGAAGGGGGGAAAGGAGGGGGAAGAGGAGGGGGAGGGACGGAGGTGGGGTGAGTGGAGTAGTGTGGAGTTGAGAACGGTGGGATGGGATGGATGAGGTGATAGCGGGATGGGAGGAGAAGCAAATGCAAAGCAGCTGCAAGGCCACAAATCAATCACCTGAAGCAGCACCAGAAACCGCACCTAAGAAAATCACCTGGGGCGGCACGGCACCTGAGAATTCACCTGGAAGAGCACGAGGGCCTGCTGCAGGAGCGTGAAGAAGAGGCGAGTGCGCACGTCGCTCTGCTTCCACGCCTTGAGCAGCGTCTCATTATCCAGGTTGCGCACCACTGTGAGCATCACCACGAGGATCTGCCTCCTCTGAATGACCCCTAGAGTGTGGAATGTTTCGACCTCGTCCAGGATCATGTTGACGATGGGCATGTAGAGCTGCGCTATGTACAGCTTCAGCTCCGGCTGCTGGTACCGCGCATCGTACTCGTGCTTCGCCACCTGGAAGGCTAGCATGCGCGCAGCCTGGTGCCAAGGGGTGGGGGGGTTGGATTATATAGAGACAAATGATCCCTCAAGACACATGCAATGAAGAGCACGCATTCATGCATGCATGCATGGAGGCACGCAAAGAGAAAACTACACATATACAAAGAGGCAGGGACATACCAGCGATCGCTGACTGGGGTCCTCGTGGTCGAGGCTCACAAAAAGGTCCTTGAGCAGCACTGTTGTCAGATAGTTCCTGGTCAAGAGCGGTGATGAGCGGTGATGGCGGTGGTTCAAGGAAGCACAGAATTTAGTAGAGGCAAGCGGATATCGCAGAGAGAAACATGGGGGCAGCAAGGGGAAACAGCAGAATCAAATATTTGCATCGCGACTCACAGAAGGACGGTGCTCTGAACCCCAGACTCTATTATACTGAACCCTCAACTCGGAACACTCAGCCTGAACGCTAGAGCCGTAAGGCCATACTTCTCTGTAGGGCCTCTGCCAGGCGTCTCGATGTAGAGGTCATGGTCGCAGACGATGCGGAGGAAGTGCAGCTTGAACATGTGCTGCATGGGCGGACACACCCCAACGAACTGCGAGAGGAACAGACCCACCTGTAGTGAATGAGGGTAGGCCGAGGGCAATGGAAGGGGAAGATGGAGAGGGAGGAAGGGAAGTGCAGCTTGAACATGTGCTGCATGGGCGGACACACCCCCACAAACTGCGAGAGGAACAGACCCACCTGTAGTGAATCAGGGTAGGCCGAGGGCAATGGAAGGGGAAGATGGAGAGGGAGGAAGGGAAGTGCAGCTTGAACATGTGCTGCATGGGCGGACACACCCCCACAAACTGCGAGAGGAAGAAGAGGACGACCTGTGATGGGGAGGGAGGAATACATGGGCAAATGACGAGTCGAGTTTTATTCGACTCGCTTTGAGTCGAGTCGAGTAAAACTCGTCAAGTTATTTTTGGCTCAAGCCCCTCTCGAAACTCGACCATATGGTCGAGTTTTTCTGAACTCGTGAGTTTCCTTGGAAAAACTCGAGCGAGTCGAGCAAAACTCGAAGCATCCTGCCGGCCACCCATAGTGCCAGATCAGCGCGATGAAATGCCGGATATCTACGGATCTAGCGCCGAAATGTCAGGTAATACAAAACGAAGTTCAATCTTGACCATTTGAGCCCCCCCTTCTGGTAGGTCAAATGTCTTGCGAGTTTGTTAAAACTTGCCAGGTTTGAGGTGCAGGTTTGAGGTGCAGGTTTGAGGTGCAGGTTTGAGGTGCAGGTTCGAGGTGAAGGTTTGAGGTGCAGGCTTGACGTGCAGGTTTGAGGTGCAGGTTTGACGTGCAGGTTTGACGTGCAGGTTTGAGGTCCATAACGATGTCCTTTATTTGATTTCAAAAACACACTCTTAAGGGGGTAGCGGAGTGGTGGGTGGAGGAAGGGGTGATGGGCTGCTCACCAGCTCAAAGACTTGCGGCGGATCCACGACAGAGATGAGGTCGTAGCAGAAGAAGGAGATGGAGGAGCTGAGGCTCTTGGCGAGGGGTGGGTCGGAGACTGCCTTTTCGTGCACCTCGGCCAGCAGGCACTCAAAGAGCTGCCGGATGCACAGAAACACCTCGTCCTCTAGCCTTAGGCGCGCAATCTCGTCCCCTGGTGTTGTTATGCGCGGGGGAGGACAGGGGTAATGGGAGAAGAGATGGTGGAGGATGGGTAGAGGGGATAGTTGGAAACTGCTTTCTCATGCACCTCGGCCGGCCAGCACGCACTCAAAGAGCTGCCGGATGCACAGAAACACCTCGTTTTCTTGCCTTAGGCGCGCAATCTCATCCCCTGGTGTTGTTATGCGCGGGGGATGGGGGGAGGAGAGGGAGGAGTTGGGGGCGGGGGGGTGGAGAAGGGGGGAAAATGGACGAGGGGGGTTAGTTGGAAACAGCATTCTCGTGCACGGCGGCCAGCACAGACTCAAACAGCTGCCGAATGCACAGAAACACATCGTCCTCCAGCCTCAACGGGGCGGAGGTGCATGAGGACGCAGGACATGCTCCCTGTAGTGCTTGCTGCACTGCACAATAACCTGCTACCTCATTGTACCATATGGTATCCTATTGCACCGCATCACATTGCAGCTCACCTTGCGGCACCTGGGCGATTTCCAGGTGACAATGAGCTCCAGCACAAACCATGCCATCTGCAGCGCAGTGTGGCGCAGACAGCAATAAAAACTGCTACCTCACCATGCAGTATCCCATTTCACCACACTGTACCGCAGCTCACCTTGCGGCACCTGAGCAAGCTCCAGGTCCATGGACTTAACAATGAGCTCCAGCACAAACCACGCCATCTGCAGCGCCTCTGCATACACCGGCCCCACTCGGAACCCTCTCGACTGGGGGGCATAGGGAGCAGGGAGTGGTTGGAGGGAGGGTGAAGGGGGGGGGGGGGGACCAAAAAGCACGTGAGAGTGAGAAGCACAAACCACGCCATCTGCAGCGCCTCTGCGTACACCGGCCCCACTCGGAACCCTCTCGACTGAGAGGCAAGGAGATCAGAACGTGGGGAGTGGGCAGAGAGGGGAGGCAGGAGATGCGTTTCATGCCATGCCATGCGCCTCAGCACACACCAGATTTAATCGAAGCCCTTCGAAACCAGAGGATAAGGATGCAGGTTGGTTGCGGCTCAAGCAGTCAAACGTGAAGCGCACGTCTGCCTTCACTCTACGTTGCGGAGCAAGGTGCGCGTACCTTGCTGCGTGCAAGGCTGCGCCACACGTTGCTGAGACCCGGGTACACAGGCGGCTGGTTGCGACCGAGATCGTCAAATATGAAGTCGACAAAGTGCACGAGGAAGCGGCTCCGCTCCATGGGGGCCGAGCCAGTCTGAGGTGCCAGCTCCAGCTGCACTCTGCTCATTGGAAGGTGGGAGATTGGGAGAGGAAGGGCGATAGATGCATGGGTGGCTGGTTGCGGCCGAGGTCGTCAAATATGAAGTCGACAAAGTGCACGAGGAAGCGACTTTGCTCCGTCGGGGCTGCACCTGCCTGCGGTGCCAACTCCAGCTGCACTCTGCTCTCAGGGGAGGGGAGGAGCGAACACACACGTGGAAATGGGGAGGGGTGAGACGAAGAGAGGGAGAGAGTGAAAGACGAAGTTGACAAAGTGCACAAGGAAGCGGCTCCGCTCCATGGCGGCTGCACCTGCCTGTGGTGCCAACTCCAGCTGCACTCTGCTTCGTGAGAGTATGGGAGTGGGGAAATGGAGTGAGAAATGTCAAAGGCGTGAAGAGAATTCTGAACGGGCAGATTGCAATATTTAGGCACCTGACTTTTAAACCACCTTAGATGTTTCCGCGAGGGTACGGTACAATTGTACCCAGGCCCTCTAGCCCGGTTACGACCGTGGATGGTGTTTTTTGCATTGTATAATGTGATTTCACCTCCTTCAAAAAAAAAAAAAAAAAAAAAAAAAAGAGTATGGGAGTGGGGAGATGGGGGTGAGTGGAAGTAGAGTGGGGAACAGACAGAAATGAAGTCGGCAAAGCGCGACTGCGCTCCATGGGGGCTGAGCCAGTCTGTGGTGCCAGCTCCAGGTGCACTCTGCTTTGTGAGAGGAGGGCGGGTTGGAGTGGCCGAGGGGTGAGACAAAGGGATGGGAGAGCCAACGATGAAGTCGAGACAAAGTGCACGAGGAAGCGACTGCGGTGCCCTCTGCTTCCAGAGGGAGGGGGGAGAGGGGGGGAAGGGAGGCATGGAGGGGGAGGAGAGGGATACAAGTACGGATCCCACCCAGGAAAGGAAACTAAGGACCCCACCTGGAGACGATGTTGATCATGGCTCGAAAAGCCGCCACCTGCAGCGTCTCCACGCCGTTGCCGATCATGCAGAGCAGCATGTTGAGCAGCGGGTAGAGGAACTGCATGAGCACCACCACGTCCACCGCCTTGACTTGGGGCGCTGATTGCAGAGGGGGGCCGGGCGGGGGAAAGGGTACACCCATGCACGCCTACCTAGTACCCACCTAGAGACGATGTTGATCATGGCTCGAAAAGCAGCCACCTGCAGCGTCTCAACGCCGTTGCCGATCATGCAGAGCAGCATGTTGAGCAGCGGGTAGAGGAACTGCATGAGCACCACCACGTCCACCGTCTTGAGCGCGTTGATTGCCTCCAGCAGGTCCTCTCTCGGCAGGGGCGCCTCCAGCATGTGGCGGTCGAACTGGTGGAAGAAGTCGCGCAGGCGGTCGGAGAGTGGGAGGAGCGACGAGAAGAGGCGAGTGCGGACTCGGAATATCGGCCTCCCTTCCTCCCAGTAGGTCAGCCGCGACTGGTACAGGGTGGGGAGGGGGGAAGGAAGAGGGGTAGGGGGTGGTTTCAGGGAAAAGGAACAGAGGATGAGAGGAGGAGAGTGGGGCCATCAGCACGACAAGGGGCGCCGTCTTGAGCGCATTGATGGAACCTCTGCCGTGGGGCACCTTGAGGGCGCCCCTTTCTCCACACCATGCTGGAGGCACCTGTTGCCCCACCCAGGAGGAGGTCCTCGCGGGGCAGAGGTGCCTCCAGCACGGTGTGGAGAGAAAAGAGAGCAGCTCATTGGGTTGGACAGGCAGGAGGAGTAAGGACAGCATGAAAAGCCGCTCCTCCCAGTTCGTCAGACGCACATCACATGCAACCACCGTGCAAAAACGCAATGAAGCAGCCATTTGTACCTCACCTTGGTGCTCTCTTGCAGGTAGCGCGGCTGCAGGTCCTTGGATATGGGCAGATTCACCTCCGCTTTGAACGCCCTGCCACGCAAGCACAAGGAAATAAGAACCATGGCAGATGAAATTTATGTCAGTTGAATCGTAACAAATAGCAAATGAAACACGCGGCATAAGGAGTGACGCTACAGGATTGCTGATTCTTGCACAGAATTTCACTATGAACCGCTGTGGTGGTGGTGGCAAGCTAAGTTGGACAGAAGAACGTACTGTAGAGCAGCAGCAAGAGGCATGACTGCATATCCCACTGCCACCTGCATAGAACAAATGCAGCAGCACACAGATCAGGAAAGGTTTACACCGATCAAAAGAGAGAGCTGAACTAGGGAGGTGGTGTGCGGGCAACACAGCAGCAGGCAGTTGCATTTCCAATCTATACCCCTTACAAGCTTACCCTGTGCTCTGTACCCCCACTCACCGGCTTGGGTCGTTCGGAGCGCAGGGAGAGGTCAATGTGGAAAAAGGTGAAGAGCAGATGGTGTGCTGGCGTCACAGAGGCAGGCAGCTGCATCTTGACCTCGTCATGGAACAGTGCCGGCCGTGCTCCCTGCACCACCTGGGTGGAGGCTGTACGCAGCATGGGACCATTGCGCTCCTTGGGAAAGATGGCCTGTATTGGGGTGGGGAGGGGGAGGGAGGAGGGAAGGCAGAGTGGGAAGGCAGCTGCATCTTGACCTCGTCATGGAAGAGAGCCGGCCGTGCGCCCTGCACCACTTGAGTTGAGGCTGTACGCAGCATGGGACCATTGCGCTCTTTGGGAAAGATGGCCTGTGAGGTGAGGGGGAGAGAAGGAAGAGAAGAGGGAACGGGAAGCGGGGAGGGGAGGAGGCAGGAGAAGAGCGGGTAGAGGGGGTGAAGGGGGGCTTGAAGACGATGCGTCCCCACCCAGTGTGCCCTGTGCCACCTGCTGCGATGCGGAAAACACTGCTTTGTTGGATCGCCACTCTCCTCCACTAACAACTGTGGATTTCCCTCATCCGCCCTGCCAGCTGCGCAGTATCTGTTCTCATCTCTTTGCTGCGCAGTATCTGTTCTCATCTCTTTGCTGCGCAGTATCTGTTCTCATCTCATCTCAGCTGATATTCGTTGAATCAGCACCCACCTCACACCAAGGGCCGTTGGATGACCATTCACTGACAGCCATCGGATCGGCACTCACCTTCATGGACGGCCGTTGGATGTCGAGATCGTCGGCCTGTAGCTCGGTGTGCACGAAGAGGTTGAGCTTCTTGGGCAGCGCCGCCTGCTGCTGCGATGCTGGCTTGCTGCATGGCCCACTCACAGCCGTCGAATTGCGACTCACCTGCACTCACAGCCGTCGGATTGCGACTCACCTGCACTCACAGCCGTCGGATTGCGACTCACCTGCACTCACAGCCGTCGGATTGCGACTCACCTGCACTCACAGCCGTCGGATTGCGACTCACCTGCACTCACAGCCGTCGGATTGCGACTCACCTGCACTCACGGCCGTCGAACTGGCACCCACCTCCATTTACGGCCGTTGGATGTCAAGGTCATCAGAGCGCAGCTCGGTGTGCACGAAGAGGTTGAGCTTCTTGGGCAGCGTCACCTGCTGCTGCGGGGCTGGCTGACTTGCTGCATGATCCACCACTGGGCACCGTGGAATCGCCGCTCACCTCCAATGACAGCCGTCGGATCGGCACTGCCTCCACAAACAGTCGTTGGATCTCTACTGACCTCCATTGACGGCCGTTGGATGTCGAGGTCATCTGCCCGCAGCTCGGTGCGCACAAAGAGGTTGAGCTTCTTGGGCAGCGCGACCTGCTGCGGATACACGAAGAGCAGATGCACCAGGCGCGTGAAGGGCTCCGCCCTGACCATGTCCGTGAAGTCTATCGCCTGGAACTGGTGGGTGGGGATAGGGGGAGGTGAGGGAGAAGTGGAAGGGAAAGAAGTCATTTGAGCTGCAGAGGTGGGGCAGGGAAGGAGGGAAAGAGAAGATGCACGAGGCGCGTGAAGGGCTCCGCGCGAACCATGTCCGTGAAGTCTATCGCCTGGAACTGGTGGGTGGGGATAGGGGGAGGTGAGGGAGAAGTGGAAGGGAAAGAAGTCATTTGAGCTGCAGAGGTGGGGCAGGGAAGGAGGGAAAGAGCAGATGCACGAGGCGCGTGAAGGGCTCCGCGAGAACCATGTCCGTGAAGTCTATCGCCTGGAACTGCACAGATGGGACGGGAGAGGGGGAGGTGAGGGAGAAGTGGAAGGGAAAGAAGTCATTTGAGCTGCAGAGGTGGGGCAGGGAAGGAGGGAAAGGGCAGATACACGAGGCGCGTGAAGGGCTCCGCCCTCACCATGTCCGTGAAGTCTATCGCCTGGAACTGGTGGGTGGGGGAAGGGAAAAAGAAAGAAGGGAAGGGGGTTTGTGTGCGAGGGTCTTGGAACAGTGACCGTGTAAGTCTGTGTCTGGAAGTGCATGGGAGGCAGAGAGGAAAGAAGAAGCAGCAGAGGAGGCTGCAGGCACAGAGGAACTCACACCGGAGAGGAACCTGGAGACGGAGAGGCTTCGGGAGAGGAACTCACACCATGTTGACATGGTCCACCCCTCAGGTCATAGAGTCCTGCGACCGCACCCGGCTCACCCACCCCTCTTGACCCCAACCTACCCCCCTTCACCCCACCCCACGAGTAGAGGGGCATGCAGCAGGACACTCAGAAAGCTCTCACCCCTGTGAGGAACCTAGAAACCGAAAGGCTTCTGGGCACCATGTTGACGTCGTCCATGTCTGAGGTCATGCAGTCCTGCGACCGCGCCCGGTTCACACCTCACACCCCCTTGATCCCGACCTACCCCCTTTCCCCCAAGAAATGAAGGGCATGCAGGGCACTCACGAATCACAAAGCACTCACCCCAGTGAGGAACCTAGAAACCGAAAGGCTCCTTGGCACCATGTTAACATCGTCCAGGTCTGAGGTCATGGAGTCCTGCGACCGCGCCCGGTTCACACCCCTCTGTGACGCGCTGCTGCTGAGGGACCGCGGCGTCACACTGCCGCCCGCTGCCGCCCCCCCTGCCGCCCCTCCGGGTAGCCTCTCCACCTCGAAGTGCATGGAGACGCGCACTGGCTTCTGCGCCTTCTTTTTGGGGTCCTGGGGTTGTAAGAGTGGGGGACCAAGGGGGAGGGAGAAGGGAAGAGTGGGAAAACGGAAGTGGTTGAAGTGGTGGATGAGAGGGGAACGGGCTCCAATTGTCCTCGCCCCGGGTAGTCTTTCCACCTCGAAGTGCATGGAGACGCGCACTGGCTTCTGCGCCTTCTTCTTGGGGTCCTGGGGGGGAAAGGGGGCTGTTGAAGGGTAGGAAAGGGGGGAAGACGAGGAGGGGAAGTCAGCCTTCACCAATTCTGTCAACTTAGAAAACAGTAACTGAGAGCCAAGGGTCAGCAGCTCACCAGCAGCTGGTCATCAGTATAACACTCCTTGTGAAGAATTTTACAAGTAACGGAGAGCCAGAAGCCGGAGGCTCACCAGCAGTTGGTCATCAGTATAACACTCCTTGGCGCGATTCAACGTGGGAATGTCAATCTGCACTGGTGGCCCCCCCAGCTCATAAGCTGGCACGCGCACCCCATTGCTATCCACCACCGGACTCGACCCCGCCCCTCCCCCCATGCCTCCCCCTTCCACCCCCAGCACGCCCCCGCCTCCCCCCAGGCTCCCTGACGACCCTCCCCCTGAGCTGCCGCCTCCCGAGGCTCCGAAGCCCCCCACTCCGCCGGTGACAGACGAATCAAAGAGGGGGATGGTGATCCACGCGAGGGGCTCTCGGAAGGGCATGACTTGTGCCCACTCTGACAGGCGCGCTGCTTCCTTGTCCGTCAGGGTGGGCTGCAAGGGGGAGAGAGGGTGGGGGAGAGGATGGGTGGGAGAATGGGGGGAGAGTGGGAGGGATAAGAAAGAAAGAAGAGGCGAAAAAGGGAAAGGTGGTCCTCTCCGAGATCACAGAACCGTCAGCGAGAAAGCGTGACGCAAGTCGCACTTTCCCGCCCGCACTACCCAGTAAAAGAAGTCACAGCGGGTGAACACAGTGCTTGATGCGATTGACACTCTCCTCACTCTTGAGTCCACTCAAAACCACACAAACACACATCAAGCAACCACAACCACCCACCCTAACCCCAAACTCACGGAGTCCTTGCGGGTGTAAACAGCGGGCTTGATGCCATTCACACTCTCCTCACTCGCAGCCTTGTCGAGCTGCACCAGCAGGCACAGCGCCGCCGACTCCTTGTCCACCGAGAAGATGAGACACACACCCTGACACCAAACTTACCGGGTCCTTGCGAGTATACACAGCCGGTTTGATCCCGTTCACGCTCTCCTCGCTGGCAGCCTTGTCGAGCTGCACCAACAGGCACAGCGCCGCCGACTCCTTGTCCACTGAGAAGATGGCTCTCGTGTCCGGGGACGTGCTCTCGCCCTCCCACTGCGCCGGCAGGAACTGGAAGTGGAAGTCCTCGGAGGCCTTCTCCCGGCGCTCGGCGTGGTACAGGCACATGGTGCCGCTCACTGGCTCCACCAGCCCTGCCTGCACCGTCAGGCCCAGGATGCGCACTGAGAAACGTGTACCTCTGGTGGATAGAACAGAGGGGAGGATGAGATGTAATGTGGGGGGGAAGAATGGGGAGGGAGGTTCTGACTGTAAGCATATAAGAAAAAGTGACAGGTCTGAAGGAGTGGGGGAAGGGAGGGCAGCGTGCCACTCACCGATGGTGCTTGCTTGGAATGTGCATGCATGCATGCATGCATGTGTCTCCTCACACGGAATGCTTGTCTTACACGGAGGGCGAGGTGATGGGGCGGATGGGCAGGCGGTGGCCGATGACAGCAGCGCGCTCCGAGTCCCAGTTGAAGAGCGGATCGTACGCCATTATGGTCGACCCCCCGTAGTGCTGCGAGCCACGCAGTGCAGTGCCCCACGCCCATGCACCCACAGCCATGCCCCCACAGCCATGCCCATGCACCCCCCCCCATACAGCCACCATCATGCATGCAGCCCCACCCACGCAGCCCCCGCCGTGCACGCCATGTCAACCCGCGCCAACCCATGCCGCACCACGTCATTCCATTCCATGTCATGCCATGGCAAACCATGGAATTTGTGGAGCGAAGAGGCATTGAGGGAAACGAGTGAGTGAGACACAGCTTTCCTGGAGGAGGAGGAGGAGGAGGAGGAGGAGGAGAGGGGAAGGGAGAGGGGGAGGGAGGAGGGAGGGGGGGTGAGAGGGGGAGGGAGGGGTAGGGGAGGGGGGGAGTAGGGAGGAAGAGTGTGGGGGTGGTTGGGGTCGGGGAGAAGGAAGAGGGGGAGTGACAGCAGCGACAACAAGATGGGCGTTGATCAATTGGCAGGACAGTGAAGGCAGCGGATCATTCAGTCAGCGAGCTCTCCCGTCAAATGAAGAGCTAGCAGGCTGGACAGACTCCCTCACTCCTTTAGCCCAGCACCGCACACTAACCTCGTCCATTGACCTATCCCCGACATAAGGGTCCTCCGGTTCCTCCTCCCCTCCATTCTGCCTGTAGCTCCCTGCTTCGGAAAAAGCAAAAGACAGCCGAGGGAAGCAGCAGAGGTGGAGAGCATGGGGATGGAAGGCAGTGAAGCGGCGAGGGGGCAGGTGGTGAGTGTAAAGGTTAAAGTTTAGCCGTTAAACTTCAAAACAGCAAGTGGTGCACACCAGCAAGCCCGTCACACAGTTGGTAAGGGACAGGGCGAGTAGCAAGGCGGGCAAGTTGGTGGGTGAGGTGAAGCCCGCTGTAGGGAAGGCAGGCAAGGAGGGGCGGGTTCCAGGCGAGGTACAGCAAGTGACACGTATTCTCACAGCAGGCATCCCGAAACGCCAGAATCCACCTCCCAGACATCTATTTCTCACGGCCTAAGGTGCTCATGGCCGCCACCCCCAAACGCCGTCTCCCCCGTACGCGTACGCCAACATGCATGCACCCCCCCCTCCTCTTCTCCCCAGATACCCCCTTCCCCCCAGATACCATACCCGTTTCTCACTCCCTCTGATTCTCACCAGGAGGGGCGTCTGAGGGGTTGGAGGGGAAGACTTGGTTGGGGAAGGAGAGGTGCGGCTCGCAGATGAAGGTGCCGTACTTGTTCTCTATGTGCACGAAATCCGCGTTCACGCAAAAGTCCAACTCGCGCAAGTGGGGCACCTCCTCGGCCTCCGGCAGAATCTAGGGAGGAAAGGGGAGGAATGGAGGAGGAGGAGGGGAGGGAGGTGGGGAGGGGGACGAGGGGGAGAATGGGGAAAGTGAAGGGGGATGTGAAGGGGGACGGGGGAGGGGGGAGTTTCGGCTGGGCGACAATGAGAAAGGAAAATTATGACTTCAGAGAGGAATTTCACTGGTTTATTCTCTCCCGTTTAAAGGCCAACTCCTTGATTCCGTGTGGAATGTTGCAGCTGGAAAAGACTGACGTGAAACGAGACGCTTCCCAGTGGTCAGCATTCCTCGTGGAATCGCTGAGCCAACAAAAAGCGGACTAATTCATCATCGCGTACAAGGCCCTGGCATCCGAAATCGCACCCAACAAAACAATACACTCCAATCTCCTGAAACCGCGGACAAGTCGACTCAAAAGCCACCTCCTTAGAAACTGCATTATCGAGGTAGGGTAAGCTCATGACGCTGACTTTGACCGTAACCTAGTCCGCAGCAAAGTATTAAGAACTACAGCCACTCACCATGGAATCCAGATTGCACCCCTGTCCAATTGCCGGAGGCCGCGGGACATACTTAATCTCCAAAAGGCTCATGGCTGCTGATAAGTCAGGCCCCACTAAGGGGCCTGCTCGTTACCCTGACCGGAAATGCACAATACTAACGCACGAAGACTTTAGCGAAGACGACGACGCCTTTCTAGCTCCTCCATTTCGCCTGTTTTGAGTTTAACGTCTCATCGGAGCGGAACTATGTGCGACTGAAGATCGCAAGTCGAAAAACTACGAGGCCAGTTGCTTGCGCACTGACCACCTGATCGAAGACGACTGAGGGAACAAGAGTACCGGCCGAACGCAATGCCGAAAAGAAAGGAAGGTACCGCCGGAAATAAGCGGTGGACTGACTATGTCGCCATTGTCGCCTGTCGCTAATGGCTAGTTTCTAGGAGCGTATCGTAAATAAAGTTATCTTGCCACCTAAATATGGAAGGTAAACTGCTTTGTGTATCTGAAACTGCAATTTCCGCCGTCAGCACCTGTCAAGCATCCGTCTGGTACAGAGCGTTTCAACACGTTTTCGTACTGTCGAGTGCGGTGCTCTTTACCAATCAAATCAGCCATCCAGAACAAACCTCTCCCCGTAATCCCCTCAGGGAATCACGTGGCCTAGAAGAAACCGAGTGTACAGTAGGTTTAGTTCTTGGGAGCTTCTTCCTGCCGAAGCTGCGACGGAGTGAGAAAAGCAGGGCTGTGATTCGGGGACCTGCCTCGGCAGCACAAAGTCTGTCAGGTTCGGTGCTAGGCTCAAACATCGAGAAGAATGCGGTCAATTGAATCCATAAATACAGAAGTACAGAAATATTTCATAAAACCAGAACAATATTGGAGAACCTAGTATAAATCAAACCAGCTCTGGTCTAGCCAAATTTGTTTGTACTTCTTCCATTCCTGCATGGCAACTCGACTATGTGAGCACTGACAATATTGACATATCTCAATACGATGCCTCCGGGTTGTTGACCTCCTCATTCTTTACTACTGTTCGGTTAGTCCCACAAACTCCCCACTTTGTTATGTCAAGCACGCCGCCTCCATCACAACCTGCAGACCCAGTCTTGCTGCATTCGTCCCTCATCTCGTCTCATCTGCTCCTGTACCTACAGGTGCGGCTGCTTTCAACTCTTGCACGGATGTCCCTTCACCTCCTGCTGCTCCCCCCTCTCCTCTACTTCCCCCTCCTGCTACTGATTGGCCATCAGGCGCCATATCACCATCAGTGGAAACATTTTCACCTCCACTACCATCCCTCACACCCTCACCCACCTTCTCCTCCCCTTTACCCCCCTCTCCTTCCCCAGCCTCCCCATCTCCTCTCCTTCCCTCTGCCGCCTCCCCCCCCTCCTGCCCCTCATCCACCCCAGCAGCATCGGCATCAGCATCGGCAGCGGCAGCAGGTGGCATGGAGGCAAGAATGAGTTGCTTCACAGGCTCGCAGGCTGCTTGTGTGGAAACGAGAGTGGCAGGGGAGCCGTAGCAGCGGGAGAAGCACACAGCCACGTAGGGGCACACCACCTGCATGGAAGGGGTGGGAGAAAGGAGGAGAGAGAAAGGAACGAGGGAGAATGGGGGGGTGGCGTCAAAGGTAAACAGGTGGGCTGCGGAGGTCTTATATCCATCACCTTAAACTGTGTCTTAGAACGACGAAGCGTAAGGAGGAGAGTGAAAGGAACGAGGGAGAATGGGGGGGTGGCGGGAGGGACTTTTGAGTCGACTCAAAAGGAGGAGAGAGAAAGGAACGAGGGAGAATGGAGGGGTGGCGGGAGGGACTTTTGAGTCGACTCAAAAGGAGGAGAGAGAAAGGAACGAGGGAGAATGGGGGGGTGGCGGGAGGGAATTTTGAGTCGACTCAAAAGGAGGAGAGAAAAAGGAACGAGGGAGAATGGGGGGGTGGCGGGAGGGACTTTTGAGTCGACTCAAAAGGAGGAGAGAGAAAGGAACGAGGGAGAATGGGGGGGTGGCGGGACGGGCGGGTGCGCGAAACGGGGGCAAGTGGTGGGAGGTGGGGGTGCGATAAAGGGGGAGCGGGGAAGGGGGGATAAAGGTGAGTGCATGCAGAGACGAGCAGAGACTTGATGAGCCTGCAAAGTGTTTCGGTTTTATTGGCAAAACAGGTGCTAGTAAAGAGAGCTGCCTCGGAGTCCTTGACTAAGTGCGTGTGACTGTAACCCTGCAACCCCGCTAACACTGCCAGCGCCCTCATACCTACAAGCATGCTCCCACTCTCACCTCCATGAACGCCCTGCATGTGCTAATAAAGAGCGCTGCCTCAGAGCCCTTGACTATGTGTGTATGGGTGTAGCGAACCTTCGACCCCGCCACCACCAGTGTTAGCGCCGTGGCATCTAAAAACACACTCTCACTCACCTCGACAAACGCCTTGCACGTGCTAATAAAGAGAGCAGCCTCGGAGTCCTTGACTATGTGCGTGTGACTGTAGCGCCCCAGTGACCCCGCCACCACTGCCAGCGCCCGCTCCACCTCCCCTGCCAGCTGCTGCTTCAGGGAGGTTGGCGCACAGTGCCTTAACTCGTTCAGCGCTGCCAGTATGCCTGAGCGGGAAGGGGGGAGGGGAGAGAAGGAGAAGGGAAGGGAGGTGGGGAGGAGTTGAGGTTTGAGGCACCTCTGAGATCCTCTTAAATTGTAGCGACCAGTGACCCCGCCACCACTGCCAGCGCCCTCTCCACCTCCCCTGCCAGCTGCTGCTTCAGGGCCGTCGGCGCACAGTGCCTCAACTCGTTCAGCGCTGCAGTATACCTGAGAGGAAGAAGACCGGGAGGAGGGGAGAGACCGGGGAAGAGACCAGGGAAGAGGGGCAGGCAACACGGAACGGGGCATGGGGTCAGGATGGGAGTTGGCAATTGTAAGACGGTGAGGCAGAGTGCCTGCCACGATTCATTGAGTGCTGGTGGTGTGCAAATGTGGCCGCGAATGCTAGTAACTCAGCGGCCATGCCACCCCCCTGACCACCAATGCCATCTCATCTCAATATTCCATCTGAGATGAGCAAAGAACAATCACCATCCCTGATCCACATCAGCACAAAACCATCCCCCTCTATCAGCACAGATTCATCCCCCCCTGTGCCACATCAGCACAGATACATCCCCCCCTGTGCCACATCAGCACAGATTCATCCCCCCCCTGTGCCACATCAGCACGGCTCACCACCCCCCCAGCACACACCATTCACGAAGGCGGCCAGTGGTGGGTGCTCCATGAGCGAATAGGGTGGCGCCACGTCATCAAGGGATTGACCTCCCAGGCCCATGCGAGCAGCGGAGCCCATGGAGGGGAGAGGTACCCATCTGTGCGTCTCCAACACATGCTGGGGAGGGGAAGGAATTAAAGAGGGGTTGCGGGGAACGGAAAGAGGGAAAAGTAGAGGGAAGAGGGGGAGTCACCACCCAGTCCCAAGCCCATGCGAGCAGAAGAGCCCATGGAGGGGAGAGGCACCCATCTATGTGTCTCCAACACATGCTGTGTGGAGGGGGATAGGAAGGAGGCGGGGGGGCAGGGTGGAAATGAGGGGAGAGGAGAAAGGATCAAGGGAGTCACTATCCAGGCCCAGGCCCATGCGAGCAGCAGAGCCCATGGAGGGCAGGAAGACCCATCTGTGCGTCTCCAACACATGCTGGGGGGGGGAAGGAAAGAGGGGTTGGGTGTGTGGAATGGGGGGCAGAGGAAAGAAGGTGACAGTTGGTGACACATGAAACTGTGAAAAGACCATGCCTATGTTGTCCAGGGAAGGGGCAGCGGGAGTGTGGTACGCATGATGTGCATGAGTGGTACACACCTGAATGGCAACAGCATTCATATACCATGAATGGTTGCCGGGTGACGGGTGATGAGTGAGATGTATGACATCATGCATGAGTGAGATGAATGACATCATGCATGAGTGAGATGAATGACATCATGCATGAGTGAGATGAATGACATCATGCATGAGTGAGATGAATGACATCATGCATGAGTGAGATGAATGACATCATGCATGAGTGAGATGAATGACATCATGCATGAGTGAGATGAATGACATCATGCATGAGTGAGATGAATGACATCATGCATGAGTGAGATGAATGACATCATGCATGAGTGAGATGAATGACATCATGCATGAGTGAGATGAATGACATCATGCATGAGTGAGATGAATGACATCATGCATGAGTGAGATGAATAACATCATGCATGAGTGAGATGAATGACATCGTGCATGAGTCATCGGCGTTGGCTCTTTGCAGTCCACTCACATGGAAGGAGTCAACCGCAAAGGAGATGTTGCGCTGAAACATCCGCAGCACACACCTGAGCGGGGTGATTGGAAGCACGACGTGAGAAGCATGAGAGAGTAATGAGCGCGGTGGGAGTGGTGGGAGTGATGATACGATGATGAAGAAGTGAGGTCTCATAAAGAGAGAGAAAGCAATAGAAGCAATAGAGCAATAGAGACATAGAGACATAGTTGATGAACAGTAGACTGCAACAGCACTGCTTCCATAGTCAATAGAGACATAGTCGATGAACAGTAGACTGCAACAGTACTGCTTCCATAGTCAATAGAGACATAGTCGATGAACTATCGGATTAGTAACAGTAGCAGTGGAAGGCAATAGAGGAACCAGAGTGGCATGAGTGCTGTGCAGGATGAGCAACGGCAAGACCGGCGCACGATTCAAAGAGGGGAGGCAGGAGGCCTCTGAGGTCCAGCCCCACTCGACCGAGACTCATGCCACAGTACTGCCAGGGAGTGCAGGGGTTGGGAACACACAAGGGGGGAGGAGACGCGCTGAGGATACATGATCCAGGTGACTTTTGGGTCAACTCGACAGAGGCCTCTGAGGTCCAGCCCCACTCGGCCAAGACTCATGCCACAGTACTGCCAGGGAGGACATAGAGGGGCAGGGACAGAGGGGTGCGGCAAGGCAGAGGAGGGGAGAGGAGGGATGGCATAAGACGGGGGAGGAGAGGGGCGAAGGCAGGGAGAGCAGAGGAAATAAGGCATAAGCTAAGAGGAACAGGGCTACGGGCCAATTCACCAAACTCCACATACTTACTTGCCCGTGCACATCCCATCATGCCGCCCATCTCACCATGCCGCCCATCTCACCATGCCGCCCATCTCACCATGCAGTGTTCCAGCACGCTAGCCAGAGACCCTCCATCCTCGATTCGCGGCAGATGCTGCGCCAGAGCTGCTAAATACACAGCCACTCGGTGCATCGCCCACCCATACACCAAACCCCCATCCCCCCCCCGCTCCCCCACCCCCCCACCCATTCAAAACCGCCCCACCTCCCGCCCTGCCCTTCCCATACTTCCCCAACACCCCCCCGGCCCCTCCCCCGGCTCCCCCCCCCACTCCCCCGTCCCCTAGCAGAGCCGCGAGCGCGGCCGAATCCTCGTCCAGGTTCGATGAATCTGGGGATGAGGAGGAGTGGTGGGCGAAGATGGCGTGGTACTGCGTGGCGACGTCAAAGAGGTGCACGCGGTGGCAGTCGGTGAGGCGCTTCAGATAGTCGTAGGGGGAGGCCGGGTCCAGCTCAGATACCACCTCCCCCAGCCACGCCTCCCTGCACCGCAGGAACTGAAAGGGGGGAGAGAAGGACGGGGAGCGCGGGAAGAAAGGGTACGAGAGGTGGGGAGGAGGAGGTAGACAGACAGGAGGAGAGGGCTGATGAGAAGGTGAGAGGGAAGGCGACGGGACATCAGAGGGGTGGGACGAGCAGATGCCAGAGCCAATGTCATATGCAGTCCACACGCGGCCATGCAGATTCTTTGTTGTGCATACCAGAAAGATACGCTGCTAGTTTAAAAAACGCTGCTCAACTGAAGCTCCCTACTCACCTGAAGTCGCATCTCTGTTTCAGAGAAAACCGCCAGGCGCCGTAGATAGCCAATCACACGCAGACACTCGGGCAGCTGCAGGGGGGATGGGTGGTGCAGAGAGCAGGAAGTCAGTCAGTGGGGAATTAAGCAGCCAGACAAACAAAGGGTTGGTATTCCAAGAAGCGAGGTTGAGAACTGAGAAGCCACGTCAGTGCAAGGCTTGGTAGACCGAATGGCCAGTGTAGAAAGGAGGCGCATTCCAAAAAACACGGTCACTCCCAGGACTCTGCTGCTGCAGTCGAATGCCATGCTGCTGCAGTCGAATGTCATGGTGACTCTGCTCCCAGGACTCTCTCACCTGGATGTTGGAGCGCAGTCGAAGCAGCAGCTGTGATAGCATGGCCTGCGTGGTGTGCCTCACTTCCACCGCCAGCTGCTGAATCACAGGCAGCCTGGTGGGGTGACGTGTGGGGTGATGAGTGGAGGGTGCGCATTGGGAAGTTGAAGAAAGGGGGTAAGGAGAGAAGTGATTCAGTGTGCCGGTGGAGAGGAGTGACAGCACGGCCTGGGTAGTGTGCCGCACTTCCATCGCTGCTGCTGAATCACTGCCAGCGTGGTGGGGTGATGAGTGAGGTGAAGCATACGAGGTGCGTGCAGGGGAGGGGAGGAAAAGAGGGGAGGGGACGAGTGCCAGGAAGGCATTGGTAGTGTGCCTTGCTTCAACTTCAACTGGCAGTTGGTATCCCACGAATCACATACAGCCTCGTGGGGTGGGGGGTGCTGTGAGGGGATGCACGACGGATGGAACGTGCGTGGATGGGAGGGTGGTGGCAAGTCCATGTAAGCCCGTAAAATCAAATACTGAGTTTGACTCTCACGATCTCCCCCCAACCACGCAGTTAATTCACTGCTCCCCCACCCATACCCCCCACGCGCTGACTCCCCCTTTCCCCCGCACACTTGACTCCCATCTCTCCTTCAACGCACTAGGCATGCATGGTGGCGAGCTTCACAACGAACGCCTCCAGGTCCAACGCCTCCCTCCCACCTTCTCTCCCCTTCTCTCCCCTCTCTTCACTCTCAACCCCTTCTCCCCATCCCTCCCCCCTCCCCCCAACGCACTTGGCATGCGTGGTGGCGAGCTTCGCAACGAACGCCTCCAGGTCCAAGGCCTCGTCGTAGTTGCCGTTGCGCACACAGCTGCACGGGGAAGAGACGAGCAGGGGGTGCGGGAGGAGCAGGGCAGGCAGTTGAGCTGATTCTTTAGTCGACTCAAATAAGGAATATCTCCATTTATAACGCCTCGCCATAGTTGCTGTTGCGCACCAGGCTGTCCGAGAAGGATGAGCAGACTTGTTTGAGCCTGTAAGCAGCACTGATGAAGGCCTAGCGGGGTTCTGTCCCGAAATTCGAAACTAGTTTGCGAGGGTTCTCTTGAGTTTGAAGGTTTTGAGATCCTTTTGAATTTCTGGGAGCAAGTTTCACAGTCTTGATCCTATTGCTTAAGTGTTTCTACAGGTTTGCAGCTACTCCGCATGAATCTTGATGTCTCCAGTTATAACGCCTCGCCATAGTTGCTGTTGCGCACAAAGCTGTCAGGGAAGGATGAGCAGACGTGAGAAGAACATGTGGTCATGGGACGTCGCAGCACCCACACCACATGGCCAGAATCATAGCAGCAGCCACGTGGCCATGAGCTACAGCACTCACGTGTCCATGAGCTGTGGGATCTCTAGAAGGTCCATGAGCGTGGGGTGGGTGGCAAGCATTGTCTTGTTCAGCCGTCTCTTCTCCATCACCCCCTGAGCCTCTTCCAGAAACTCATTGCACCCGGTGGTTAGCTTAGGGATCCCCGACACCTGATGCCAGATAAAGTGGGAAGGGTTTGAATAGATATGATAGAACTAAGCAACAACTTAGGGATCTCCAACACCTGATGTCAAATCCGCCTTACCTGAAAATTTTTCTTACGCCAGACGTGTGACGATCATGATCCAATGTTTGACTCGACTCTTATGGTTATGGTGACTCATGCTGTGATACATAACGACGCTTCAATTTCAGGCTAGAGGTTCACGAATGCAGTAATATTGGAACGACAATACATGATGCAATGTCAGACTATTGCCTCTCACCAGAGACCCCAGGTGTTGATCGACGGAGTTGATCTCGCGGTGGATGGACCGGATGGCGTCAGCGGCGGTGATGAACGCGCGGTAATGCGCCACCGCCACCTCCTGCATCTGCCGCTGCACCCTCTCCGCATCGGCGCGCAGCAGCTCTGGTTCCTGCCACAAGCAAAGCGTTAGAGATGGGGGAAAGGATGACGTGAGTAAAAGATAGGTTGAATAGGTGGCAATAGACTGAGAATCAGTGTTCCTGATTGGTCTGGCCTCACATGAGAGAAGCGTCAATCATACATGTATCCAGACCAAAAGTTCGAAGATATCTCTTCGTCGCTTTTCCCGAATCTTTCGAGAACCATGACTACTCATGATTGTCCGAAGTTCTTCTGCCTTACAACCCCAATCTCTGTCGCACCTTGTTCAATCGATCCAGGCTGTAGGAGAGCAGCTCCGACAAGTACGCATCTTGAAGCTCCTCTAACCCCACCGAACTGCCACCTCCTGATCCTTGGGTTACGGAGGAGTCCCCTAGAAGCTGGCTAGTGGGGGTGGTTGGCGCGAAGCTGCGCGGAGATGAAGCGGGGAAGTATACGCGCGGAGAAGCCATTCATGCGGAGGTGCGTGGGGAGCGGTGTATAAGCGTCCGTGAAAATCCCGCTGCGCGAAATGCGTGGCGAGTCAAATCCGCAACAGTTGCGTTGGTCGATACCTGAATGCGTGCGATATGCTGTATCTAGAATGCGATGTGCCGTGGTGCTTGTTGGAAGAAATCCGCTAAAGACATACCACGGTTCCGTAAGGAAATTTGGTTTCGCATGAGTAGAAAATCATGCGTGATGCTTATTCTTTTACGGGTGTACACCTTCCACTAATGCACATTTCAACGTTTCCGCCGATTGATGGGCGGAAAGTCGTTCGGGCAAACTGTTCTTATATCCAAACAATGCGAGGCGAAAACGTGTCAACCACCAATCATAACTGATCTCTACGCCAGGAGATCGGGTTGTCAGGGAAAAGTGAATTTCCCTCCAACACAGGCCTCAAGCGAGGATGCTCTCGCTGCTTTCACATTGGCTCTGTTCTGTAGGCATTTGCTGTTAGGGGGAGGAGGGGGGGGCGAGTGGAAATGATGAGGGTTCCTGGGCAGTTTCTCTTTCGATATCACCCCCACCCCGCTACAGCCGAAAGCGTGAAACTTCGTGAGCTGCGGCGGAAAGTGCCGAAGGTAAATGACGCATTTGCCTGCTCAATTTCGCGCCCCATAAGCAGGAGTACATTGAATCGAGAAAACCTAAATAAGAAGGCACTATTCGCACGAGGGGGTTCAGCAGTAAAAAATCGAAATGCAACCTCAACTCCCAATTTCCGGTTGTGCAAGATGGCTGGGCTCGATCGGGTTGTGCTTTCCGGTTTTTTTCCGGTTTATTTTTCCTCGATCGGGTTGTGCTTTCCGTTTTGGGCTACGTGCAGCAGGAGGGCATGTCCATCGAGGGTAGTAGATGGGTGTCCCTACCCACCGTACATCCCTCCCATGTCTCTCGCCACGCTCTGAAAAAGCAGGTTTCGTAGGGCGGGGCGAATGACTTGACTTTTGCCAGAGGAGGAAGGTGGAGAGGGGAAATAGGTAGCTTCCGATGGGCCAAAATCCACGAGGGTAATTGGCTGTTCTGTAGCCATTTCCCCTCGAACTGGTTCGGAGGGGAAATGGCTGGCTCGGCAACGTTTTGCGGGCTGACCGCCTTCCGAACCCAACAAACGCAGTGGGGGGAAGCTACCTCCACTCCTCGCCCCCTCACCGCCATGGCCTACAGAACAGAGCCGGGGTCCTTTTCTCCCTCCACGCGTGAAGGGGTGCTAAAGCACACCACAGGCCTTAGGAAATGCTCAAGGGTGTTACGCGGGAACTTCGCTGATTAGCTAAGCAAAGTGGTCGCTGCGGGGATTTGTGGCCCCCTAGCCATTCGCCGGACAGCCGCGCTTGGTCCACAAAGCTTGTTCTCGAACGTGGTTGGGTCTGGCACACTGTTCAGGCCTCAAACCAGGCTTCCCCAAGTCAGGCAACCAATCCGATAGCAATGTATTTGGTCTGTCTGTAGAGTTCACGTGCCACGGAAGCAGCCAAACCAGCTTTCTAAGCACGGGTGCCCGTGCCTCGGCAAACTGAAGGAGAAAGAAATGGCCGCTTCGGGAAGCCAGAAATTGGTCTTTCCAGACAAACCTCGTCAGAAAACACGAGCAGCACGATTGTGCCTTACGAGTATTTCACGGGGATATGGACGCCAGGCAAGCTTACCTGATGCTGCTTGGCACGCTTGAGCCGACTGCACAGGATCGCCTTTTCTTTGTTTCATGAGGCCAAAACTAGCTGAAAGTGCAATCACTCATTAGTTCCACAGAGCGCTTCCTATACTTTCTTTGTCAGAGGGCCATCCAGCCGCATAGTCGGTGCTGGCGTTGATGGCAGTAGGAAAAATGGAAGCGTCTGCTAATCCGGACGCCGCTGTTCCAGAGGAATCTAACCATCCACAGGACAAAGAGTCTCAACAGAAGAGGGTTACAGCAGATTCGCACGCTACCGATTCTCAGCAACCCGCTCCGTCTTCCCGATCAGGGTTAGTAGTTTTCCAGAATCGAACCTAACTTCGAAAATGTACCTCATCAGAGAATATAACCTCTCATCGGGACCTATTTTCTGATACGCGTGCTATGTTGCAATGCAGAGGAAAGATATTTATAGGAGGCATTTCATGGGAAACGAAAACAGGTGCGCAGAGATATCCTGTTCTCTTAATCTTATCCCACCACTCGAGTCAAGCTTTCGTCCTTCAAGGTAGTCATGTCCTTCACATGCCCGCGAATCGTCAAGCTTTCCCCTTCCTTGATATGCAGAGGACTTGATCGAGCATTTCAAGCAGTATGGAACCATTGTGGATGCGGTGGTTATGAAGGATCGGGTAACCGGCCGACCACGTGGATTTGGATTTGTCACTTTTGAGGATCCCTCAGCGTGTGATAAAGTAGTGGAGGATCAACACGTCATTGGCGGCCGAGCGGTAGGTGGCGTCAACGTCCGATATCATGGTAGTTTGGAAAGAGAGACTGTCCATTGATATATAGTGGCGTCTCGTAAACTCGCGAAATTCGTTCGTGCTGACTTCGTTGTTGCCGGCTCTACGTGTAGGTGGAAGCCAAGAAGTCAGTTCCACAAAATGCAAGTGGAGGACGTGGTCCGAGGACGAAGAAGATATTCGTCGGAGGCCTTGCTGGTAGCACCACAGAAGGTGACTTGAATGTGTTTCCATGTCTGCCATTTTCCCTGAAACACTGCATTGCCAATCGCTGATGTATTTCCTGTTACTTGCAGAGGAATTTGCCGCGTACTTCTCGAATTTCGGAAATGTGGTGGATCGCCAAGTAATGATGGATCATAACACTGGTCGATCTCGGGGGTTTGGCTTCGTCACTTTTGACAATGAGCAATCCGTTGAAAATGTCCTTGCTCAAGGAAAAATGCATCAACTTGGAAACAAACAGGTAAGTCACGGCCCGATTTTGTTTATGTCTTTATTTTGTTTTTCAATCAGCGCACCTCCTACATTGACCCGCTGCCTGACCATTTCCTCGTTTGCAGGTTGAGGTGAAAAAAGCGGAGCCCAGGAGAATGGACGCTCCTGGAGGAAATGATGGCTTCGGTGTAGTAAGGGGTCGTCGTCATGGTGTAGAGTACAGCTCGGGAGGCTACGGAATTCCGGGGAGCTATGGAGATTCCCCCATGCCTGCTTACAGAGGCGACTACGCCTATGGCCCTGCTTATGCAGGTGGCTATGGTGTCCCCTATTCCGCAATGTACATGGGAAGTGCAGGCTACAGGCCATACCCTGGCTACGGGGACTCTTACGGCGGGGAAGGCCAATATCAAGCACATAGTCCTTTCAGTGGAGCAGCAGGTGCCAGCGCTTATTTGCCTAATGCTGGGCTCCAGTATGCAGAACCCAGTGAAGGATATGGCCCGCCTAATTTTCCTGGAGGGTACCCTCAAATGGGACCAGGTCCGCCCACAGAATACACAATGGGAGGGACGTACGTAGGTGGGGCTTATGGTGCATATCCTGCTGGTCCCTATGCCCCCCCGCCACCTTCACCAGTACATCCAGGCTTTCAAGTCGAAAGAGGTGGAATGTTTCCTGGACCTAGTCAATATCACCCGTATGGGAGGGGGTGAGTGTCTGCATTGTGACCTTTAGATGTGTTGCTGTAGTGAACTTCCACAACAGGAACAAAACAAAGAAAAAGGCTCCACCTTTCTGTGCATCTGAAGGCATACACCAAACAAAGAACTTGTATGATGCTGGTAGCTAGGTATATAAATGTAGGACGGTGTCGTAAATTTTATTGGTGGTGAACGGAAAAGGAGCTGGTTTAGCCCTGATGGAGCCGGTAGCCCCCTGATGCCTGTCCCAACTTTCTCCACCTCCCCTACCATCAGCGTCATATTTGAGCATGTGCATATGGAGGGATGTGGGTGGGTCTACAGCAGGGCTCTTGCTAGGATCTGAGGGTGTCTGATTCTGTCAGACGGGTCCCCCAGGCAAAACAATTGTTTTGTCTGATCTAGATTGGAAAATCAGATGGATATAAAAAAATGAGTCTGAAAATCAGACCATCAGACCAAAATGGTCTGATAATGAGTGCCCTGGTCTACAGTTCAGGAACTCGTGGTTGGTGGATGACTGGGTGCGTATGAAACTATCGATTGGTTGAATTGCGGTCATATAGCAGCCACTTTGTCACCAGATAACAACACAATCCCAGCCAGCAGAATCATGCGTGCTCAAACAAGCCTGGACACATAGGTGGTAAGTCAATTGTTGAAAATATTGTAAGTCAACAAATACATGAATTTGAAGTTTTTTGTGATGTATTTTAATTATATTTGAAATAATGTAGCACTTTTTTTGAAAATCCTTAAAATGCATAAAGTATCTCTTTACTCTAAAGATCTAGCCAGAATAAAACCATTTACTGTTTATGTTTCATTCAATTTTGAGGTGATTGTTGCGAGCATTCACTCGTGCAGTGCGCTGGTAAACGCACAGTGCTTGGGACGACATTACACGTGGCCCGAATCATCCAAGCATACGACGTTTATCTGATTGGTTGTGAGTCATTGCCCAATCCATTTCCGTGAGACCTGTCCAATCCGTTGGCAACTGAAATCCCAGTGCGACGTCCAGAAGCCGATCGGTTGGCTTCGCGGATGCACCTCCCTGACCCAGTAATGTAATCACACAACCCCACTTTCTCAGTTTGCCAGACTTCGCTCCAGCAAGCTTATCCAACTCACCAAACGCCCTTCAGCTAAGCAGAGCTGACGCCATGGCCGCTGTGTCCACCTCCGCTCTTGTTGCCCCCAGCTCCATCAAGAGCTTCGATGGCCTCCGCGCCAGCGCCACCCCCAGCCGGGTGGTGAAGTTCGCTCCCCTGAAGGGCAAGGGTGCCCTCGGTGCCCGCTGTGACTACCTTGGCTCTCCCACCAACCTGGTCCGTGCCCGCTGTGAATACGTTAGATATTTCTGTCGTTCTTCTCGCGATTCCTCTTTGTGCTGG